CACTTCAAGTACCTTCACTCACTTCCTGAAAACAATGCAGCCATTATCCAACGACCAATAAAGACCAAACTTGGCATACAGAACCGCCATTACCCACTTTCTCTAATAACCCGGGCAACGCCGGGTCCAAGCTAGTATATAATAAAGAAGAGTGTTTGTATCGGACAGAGGAATTGTGGAGGGAGGGCGGTGTATGTGGCAGCGTTCTGATTGGCTGCCGCTGTGGTGCTATTTACATATGGTCTCTGATTGGCCAGCTTCAATAGGAGCCCCTGGTGGAGAAGAGGGTTCATGGCAGAAACGGGGCATGACAGAAGGAAATTTGCATATGGTCTCTGATTGGCCAGCCTCAAATCCAACATTCCGAGATGACAAAGAGAGGAAAGGAAAGGCCGGGGGCTGGGTCAGAACACTACCAATACAGACCGAAATAGGCACACAGAGCCCCCATCACCCACTCTACATCCTACTGCAGTTTGGAGGAGGGTGAACCATGGATGATGGGACTTGCAGTACCACCACTCACATTCTGAGACCGCTGTTAACCTTATCCAATGACTGATCAGGACCAAACTTCGCACATAGACCTCTCATGACCCACTTTACGTCCTGGTGTGGTTTGGCCGGGGATGGACCGTGGATTATGGGACTTGCAGTACCATTGCTTAATTCTTCATACCACTGCAACGCTCATCCAATTACCGATAAAGACCAAACTTGGCACACAGAGTCCCCATGACCCACTCTACATCCTGGTGCACTTTTGAGGAGGACAGACCATGGATGATGGGACTTGAAGTACCTCCACTCTCTTCCCAAGACGGCTGCAACCCTCATCTAATGTCTGATCAAGATCAAACTTGGCACACAGAGCCCCCATGACCCACTCTGCATCCTGCTGCAGTTTGAAGGAGGATCGACTTTGGATGATGGGACTTGCAGTACCATCACTCACATTCTGAGACCGCTGTTAAACTCATCCAATGTCTGATCAGGACCAAACTTGGCACATAGACCTCTCATGACCCACTTAACGTCCTGGTTTGGGGGATAGGACCATGGATTATGGGACTTGCTTTTGCGCAATTCCTGAGACCACAGCAACGCTCATCCAATTACCCATAAAGACCAAACTTGGCACACTGAGTCTCCATGACGCACTCTACATCCAGGTGCAGTTTGAAGGAGGATGCACCATGGACGATGGGACTTGCAATACCTGCACTCCCTTCCTAAGACCATTACAACTGCCAACAATGCTGGATCAGGAACACAATTTACACAGAGACCCAGCATGACCCACTCTACATCCTGGTGCAGTTTGGAAGAATTTGACAATGGATGATGGGACTTGCAGTCACTTCACTCACTTCCTGAGACCACTGAGACCCTCGCCAATGACTATCAAGACTAAACTTGGCACATGGAGCTCCAATGACCCACTCTACATCCTGGTGCAGTTTGGAGGAGGACAGACCATGGATGATGGGACTTCAAGTACCTCCACTCCCTTCCAAAGATTGCTGCAACCCTATTCTAATGACCAATCAAGACCAAACTTGGCACACAGAGCCCCCATGATCCACTCTACATCCTGCTGCAGTTTGAAAGGGGATGGACTTTGGATGATGGGACTTGCAGTACCTTCACTCACTTACTGACACCACTGCCACCCTCATCTAATGACTGATAAAGACCAAACTTGGCACACAGAGCCCTCATGACCCACTCTATATCCTGCTGCTGTTTGTAGGATGGGCCATGATGATGGGACTTCAAGTACCTTCACTCACTTCCTGAAAATAATGCAGCCGTTATCCAAAGACCAATAAAGACCAAACTTGGCATACAGAACCGCCATTACCCACTTTCTCTAATAACCCGGGCAACGCCGGGTCCCCAAGCTAGTATATAATAAAATATAAAAGAACATAACCCAATTACAAGCTCTTTCAGTTGCATAGATTTTGGACCCAAGTCTTGCCTGAATAAAAAAGATCTGCCAGCGAAGGTGCTATCAAGGGATCCCAAAAAGGATCCCTAGAATCTGGAGGTCTCAATAGCTAAGTCTAAAGTAATCTTTCACCCAGAAACCTAATTTGGGTTAGCCTCCACAGTTTATTTATTATTTAATTATTTACAGTATTTATATTCCGCCCTTCTCACCCTGAAGGGGACTCAGGGCGGATTACAATGTACATATACATGGCAAACATTCAATGCCATAGACACACAACATATATAGACAGACACACAGAGGCTATTTAACATTCCAGCTTCTGGCCACCAGGAGAGCTGTTGCTTCACTGTCCATCTGCAACACTGATGAAGTACTTCCTCATTCCCCGTATGCTTGCTGGAGATTTTTATGGCCTCGTAAATTAGCCTCCCCACACATAGATAGTACCTAAATTTCCTACTTGACAGATGTAACTGTCTTTCGGGTTGCAAAGGTTGAAAACAAGCTACACAATTGGCCAGAAGCTCACTCCGACCCAGGCTGGCTTCAAACTCATGGTCAGTAGTGATCTTAATGCAGCTGACGCTCAGACAGCTGCACCACAATCCCGGTGGTCTAGTTATGTGCACATGCATAGGTTGTTCTAGCTGGAAAATAGACATTGAGTTGTAGTTGGGATTTATAGTTCACCTACAATCAAAGAGCCCCTTGAACCCCACCAATGATAGAATTGGACCAAACCTCCCAGACAGAAACCCCATGACCAACAGCCACCCCGACACGATCCCCTTGGGGGTCTTGACCCCCAGGTTGAGAAATGCTACTTTAACCCATCCGTGTTTAATTTGATCTTTGGAGCTGGACACGCCTGGCCTCGGACTTGCAATTTTAGCAGAGCTGAAATCATGTAACGAAGGGAAAGAAGAGAAAGGGCCAGCCAAACACCACAATCCATGGAGAGCCCCTGAGAAGGCTCTTTGCTGGGTCTTTGCCAAGTATGCTTGCATAGAGGGCTTTAAGCGGCCAACAGTCCTTGACCCTTTCTTCTGTTTCTCCAGGCATTCCTGCCCTTGCTGAAGAAGGCATCCCAGGAAAGCCCTCACAAAGGCATGAGCTGCAGCAAAGCAGCCATTATCAACATGTCCAGTGAAGGTGGCTCCATCACCTCGGTCACTCTACCAATTGTAGTCTCTTATCGTTGCAGTAAGGTATGGCAGAAAGAGCGAAAACATGGGTTGTATTATTGTTTACAGTTTAATTTCACCCAAAGATGTTTTTAAAAATGGGCTTTATAACTTGTGCTCTTGACAATTGTGTTGCACTCCAGGACAGGAAAAGCCCTCTGACTGTAAACACCACACCGTTGATTGGAAAACAATCCTTTTATTGAAGATAATTAAAAAGCAGCAAGTAAAAAACACTTTAAAGAAATAAGTAAATCCAATTAGGTAAAAAGATAAGCAGGAGCAAGAACAGTCCAGGGGAAAGTTCAGCAAAGTCACCAGAGCCCCCAGTGGCGCAGTGGGTTAAACCCTTGTGCCGGCAGGACTGAAGACCGACAGGTCGCAGGTTCGAATCCGGGGAGAGGTGGATGAGCTCCCTCTATCAGCTCCAGCTCTTCATGCGGGGACATGAGAGAAGCCTCCCACAAGGATGATAAAAACATCAAATCACCCAGGCGTCCTCTGGGCAATGTCCTTGCACACGGCCAATTCTCTCACACCAGAAGCAACTTGCTCCTGACACGACCAAAAAAAATTTTTTTTATTGCAGTGCCGTTCTTATACAGTGCAATATATCCAGTTTTGTCCTACATGACCAGACATCCTCTGGTCATGTGAGACTTGTCCTCTAAAAGATTGATAGTCTTTTAGAGGACAAGTGCCACAAGGTGACTCTCATAGTGGCAAAATTCCTCGCAGTGGCAACAAGGATGAGAAAGAAACTAACCTCTGATATTACTTGAAACCATGGGAGAATTTATTAATGACTGTTTGTTCACTGATGGGTCTATGGACCATAATGAATATTGTTGTTATTGTTGTTATGCAAACATGAAATAACACTCTATTGCCTGTTTATGGAACTGAAATGTATGTTCCTCTGGCGTTTCTCCTTCCTAGGCTGCTCTTAATATGCTTACCAAGTGTCAGTCCCTGGATTTTGGCAAAGAGGACATCCTGTGCATTGCATTGCATCCTGGATGGGTGGAGACAGACATGGGAAAGTCAGTGGTAAGTCATTTAGGGGGGAAATCACTTTTGGTTTTTAGGGGGGGGGGGGAACAGAATTCAAAGAGCTAACAAATTGAAACTGAATCCAGACAAGACAGAGGTCCTACTGGTCAGTCGCAAGGCCAAACAGGGCATTGGGTTACAGCCTATGTTAGACGGGGTTCCACACCCCTGAAGACGCAGGTTCGCAGCTTGGATGTGACCCTGGACTCATAGCTGAGCCTGGAACCCCTGGTCTCGGCGGTGGCCAGGGGACCATTTGCACATTTAAAACTTGTGCACCAGCTGCGCCCGTACCTTGGGAAGTCTGACTTGGCCGCAGTGGTCCACGCTCCGGTTACATCCCATATAGACTACTGCAACGCACTCTACATGGGGTTGGCTCTGAAGACTGCCCGGAAGCTGCAATTAGTCCAACGCTTGGCAGCCAGGTTACTCATGGGAGCGAGATACCGAGAGCACACAACGCCCTTGTTGTGCCAGCTCCGCTGGCTGCCGATCAGCTTCCGAGCACAATTCAAAGTTCTGGTTTTAACCTATAAAACTCTACATGGTTCCGGCCCAGTTCATCTGGCCGAACGTTTCTCTCCTAGGAAGATCATCCGAAGAGGCCGTGCTCTCGATCCCACCACTTCGCAGTTGCGTTTGGTGGGGACGAGAAACAGGGCCTTTTCTGTGGTGCCCCCCGGCTATGGAACTCTCTCCCAGTTGAAATTAGATCTGCCCCCTTCCTCCTGAACTTTAGGAAGCAAGTGAAATCTTGGCTGTGTAATGAGGCATTTGCAGAGTGATGGCTAAGACTGGTAATTGACTAAAGTTATTGACCACAATATGTGGACTGAGTTGGACGTTGTTTTTATCTTGGCGAATGGTTTATATGTATTTTTAACATATTGTCTATGTATGATGTTTTAAAGGTTATTATTGTTAGCATTGAATTCTTGCTGTTAGCCGGTCTGAGTCCCTCTACGGAGGTCGAGAAGATCAGGATACAAAAGTTTTAAATAAATAAATAAATACCTGGGAAATACTTATGTACTACAGTTGATTGTGCAGTTTCCACTATAGCTGCTCCATGGTGTTCATGGTGTTCATGGTGAACATTAATTTTATTTCTTAAACTTACCCATCTTACTGCGACTCAATCAATAAATTGTGCAAATTATAAAAATTATAACAGTACCAACACTTGACCAGCACCAGCCCTCCACGTTTGTAGTTAATGAACCTCTTTGGACATTGAGAAGCAGCAGCTAGGTGGTCATTTCTTAAGGATGCTTTGGATGCTCTTTTGCTTTTTCCAACATGCAAAGCCCAGGGTCATTTGAGCATTCTCTTTTTCCAGGGACAGCCTCCGCTGACAGTGGAGTTCAGTGTGAAAGAGATCCTGAAGACCCTTGCCTCTCTTTCAGAGAAAGACAACGGCACCTTTGTGAACTGGGAGGGGAAAGTCGTTCCTTGGTGAGCTTCTGTTCCCACCAACTCCTGCAGAAGGAGCTGCTCACCCTTGGCAAGGCAGATGTCGTCGTCATCTTCTATTAAAATAAAAACATGGGCTGGCATCCTGTTAAGTATTTTTGTCATTGTAAACTTGCAGTTTCTCAAGTCACTCCTGACACAACCCAAAAAATCGTAAACTGAGTTATGTTCAATATTTGTATTTTCCAGAAGGGATCAGGAACATAGCTACATCTCTTATGGAACCCTCGATGGTGCAGCAGGTTAAACCGCTGAGCTGCTGAACTTTGCTGACCAAAAGGTTGGAGGTTCGAATCCAGGGAGCGGGGTGAGCTCCCGCTATTATCCCCAGCTTGTAGCAACCTAGCAGTTCAAAAACATGCAAATGTGAGTAGATCAATAGGTACTGTGTTGCAGCTCAGAGTAGAGTCACCTTGCTCCAAACACCAAACCACACCAAGGCTGAAGATTTTGTAGTTTATTGAAGAAAAGTCTTAAATGCAAAAATAGAGTTCCAAAAGTTCAATAGCAAATAGCATGAGGCATAATCCAAAGAACATCGCTCAAACAAGATTCCATGACAGCATGACAAAGTCCCAGGAAGCCAAGATCATTGCCCAAAAGAGTTGTGACTCAGCTTTACTCTGAGTCTGAAGCTGAGCTGTTTGGGCCTTCTGAGCCTGACTTTGAGGACTTTGGGCCTTCTGAGCCTGATTTCCTGCAGGGTGACGAGGAGGCTGATGGGTTACAGATTCCTGTACGTTTCAGACGGGGCTGATAGTGAGGCTGCTGAAGGAGAAACAGCAAGTCAGTCTTCAGGGAAAAGGAATGTTCCTGCAGTTAGAGAGAATGATAGCGAGAGTGAAATCCCACACGGCCAGGTGGAGGATCTGTCCCAGCTAGACCCAGATAAGGGGTTGCATAGCCTTGCAGATAATGAATTAATGAGCAGACAAGATCATTTGCAATTAAGGCTTCGGAGAAGCACTCACTTGGCCAGCAAGTGAGAAGCCAAAGGGGCCCAAGGTCAACGCAATGCTTTCATGTTCACAAAGGGTATTTAGTCTTGTAGCTGACAGGCAGTTGTTGTCAGTCCAACATTGCTCTTCCCATGTTAACTTCTGAAGATTTTCCTTGGCTTTTCGCAGCACGCTTCTGGCTTCCTGAGTCTGGGATTTGGGTCTTGTTTTCAACTGTTTACCACGGACTTTTGTTTGACATAGCTAAGGGATTATGCTTCATATTTTTGTCTTTGGATCTTGGGAACTTTGCCTTTGCATTTAAGTCTCTGTTTTGCCTATGGAACTATTGCATTTCTATTTCTTTGTTTTGATTTTGCTTTTCTCAATAAAGTACAAAAACCTACAGCCTTGGTGTGGTGGTGTCTGGAGCAAGGTGAAAACTACCCTGAGTTGCTACAAAAAGCCAAGGCAATCCAAAGAAGTTACCAGGTTGTTCGCAAAAGTTGCACTGACCAAGATTGGCCTTCAAACACCCCGTTTAATATACTTCCCCAGCATGAATGCATTCCGTTGACCCCTAACCTCCCTCTTGTTAGCAAACCTCGCACTGTGGCAAACTTTGAATCGTAAGCGATCCTCCCTATCTAGATCTTCAGAGCTCTCAAGGTTGGATAGCTCGTTAAGCGCCTGAGAATCGTCAGGCTGGGAGCCATCCTCCTCCATTTGCACCTGGCTAGTTTCACTAATGTCAGAAACATTCCTTGCCATGGAAAACTGAACCTCCTCAGATTCATCTTCAAAAACAACAGGAACATCTTCATGAATCTGAATCCCATCATCTTCTGCCTGAGGCTCCAGCTGAACCACAACATACTGCTTCTACGGGAAAGTAATGGTTCTGGCCCAGATTACCTGTCCGAACGTATCTCCTGCTATGAACCATCACGAAGCTTAAGATCATCAGGAGAGGCCCTGCTCTCGATCCCACCACTCTCGCAAACACGGTTGGTGGGGACGAGAGACAGGGCCTTCTCGGCAGTGGCCCTCCATCTGTGGAACTCTCTCCCTAAGGACATCAGGTTGGTTACCTCATTCCTGTCCTTCAGAAGACAACTGAATACTTGGCTTTGGGACCAGGCATTCAATTAGAGGATAGCGGCAATATGGAAAGGAATTTTGAAGTTTTACAACACTGGATTCTCCTGGCTTGGTTTTGGCTTTATTGGCACGTTAATGTATTCTTAAATGAATGTATTGATGATTTTGTATAATGTTTTAAAAATTATTTTACTGTTTTAATTGTAATTTTAGGGTGTATGTGTTGTTAGCATCATTTGATGCTTATGTGAGGCCACCCTGAGTCCTCTTATGGAGAGAGGGGCAGGGTAGAAAGGTATGAAGTAAATAAATAAATAAATTTCTAGCACCCACTTTTTGGACATTTAGTATAATGTCAAACACTTCATGTGTTTTTTTCAGCGGGGTGCTAGAAATAATATCATACGAAAGCCAGGTAGCCCTGATGTACATTCATTGAGTAATTTCCCCACGTCTCTCAGTTCACAGTGAAAGGATGATGGAAATTAAAGGAAAGGGTTCTGGGTTCAACAAGACAACATTCCAAAGGGAATTCATAACCAAGGTTTAGGTGGGTCCCACTCACTGGGTTTGCAGAGCAGCGGCTTCTATTTCATACTTTTATACATTTCATTATACATTTCTGTTGCACTCCAGAACAGAAACGATACCCTCTGACTTTAAAACACACCACACGTTGAGTGAAAAATCAATCCTTTTTATTGAAGCTGAGTAAAATAGCCAGTAGAAAGAAATGCTTGTAAAAATAGGAAAATTTCAAAATGTAAAAGATCAGTAAAATGCAGTAATTCAAAGCAATGTCCACAAAAAAGATAAAAAACAATCCAAGGCAGTATTTATCCAGACAGGAATCAACAGGTTGCAAAGATAATTCACAGCAAAATGGTAAAAATCTCTATAAGAACAAGACCCCTTGAACAGGATTTCCAAAGCACATGAACATGATTTCCAAATGATGCCTGATCTAACAGGCTTTCCCTTGAAGCAAACCTTATATCCCAAAACCCAAAAATTGGTTTCGTTTCCCCCCACTCTTGCCTCTTATCTGACGAATCCTTTCGGAGCGACGTAAACATGGAGTTTGTTGTTGATCTTGGCCGCCTATTTTTCAACTCTCTTTCTGGCTGCTCATTAAATTCCCAGGTGTCAGATTGTTTTCCAAACTCAAATCTTGTGAGCTCACAGAGAGAGGGAGTAATCCATCATTGCTAGGCCCAGCAGGAATATTCTCATGAGAAACTGCCCTTTGAACTGGGGCCTCTTTGTCATTGTCGGCCTGAAAATCATTGACCAAACCATCTCCATCTTGCACCTCAGCCTCAGCACCACCATTTCCCACATCAAGAGCATCGTGATCCTCATCATCCTCATCATCCTCATGATAATCATTTAAATACTTATTAATTGCCCTCCATCCAAGATGCTCTAGGCAATTTACAAGCTAAATTGTTAAGGATAAAAATACATACATACAGATATTGATAAAATTAACATAGATCAAAAGCTCTAGTAAAAAGCCAGGTCTTAAGTGCTAGGGTAAAAGGCCCTAAGTCACGCATGGCTCTCATGTAGGGCGGCAAGGAATCCCACAAGGCAGGGGCAGAAATAGAGAAACCCACCTGCACCTGGTCCTTTCCAAGGGCACTTCTCTAGGACCCGGTATATGGAGTAAGTCGCGTTGGGCTGATCGTTGCGACCTCCGATGATGGGAGAAGGAGAGGCGGTCCCTAAGGTATGATAGACCCTGGTCGTAAAGAATTTTAAAGGTCAGAACTAGCATCTTATACAGGCCACAGTGGTACTCAGTTGGAAGCCAATGCAAATGCCGCAGCACTGGAGTTATATGGCATTTCATGGGTGTTCTTGTGAGTAACCTGGCTGCCGCATTCTGAACAATACGGAGCTTTCGGGTCGTAGACATCGGAAGGCCCACATACAGGGCGTTGCAATAGTCCAGCCTAGACGTGACCACGGCATGGATGACCGTTGCCAGAGCCTCGTCAGATAGGGAGGGTGCCCGTTGCCTCGCTTGTCGTAGATGGAAAAAGGCCTGTTTGCTGGCAGCAGCCACCTGAGCTTCCATTGTCAGCTGCAAATCCAGGACGACACCCAAGCTCTTAACAGTGGTCGATGGAGAGAGGGCGGCACCATCGAAGGTGGGTAACGGAGGAGACAGACCTGCTGGGCGGCCATGCCAGAGAATCTCAGTCTTTGCTGAGTTCACCTTCAGTCTGCTAGCATGTAGCCAGTTTGACAGAGCCTCCAGACATAAGGTGAAATTGTCTGGTATTGACGTTGCTCCAGGTTCCAAGCGCAGAAGGAGTTGGGTGTCGTCTGCATATCGATAGCAGTCCAGGCCGAAATTCTGAGCCAAACTAGCAAGGGGTCTAACATAGATGTTGAAGAGAAGAGGGGAAAGAATTGCACCTTGGGGGACCCCACATAGGAGGGGAGAACCTGAGCATCATGAAACACCAACACAGGCTGATTCCCAACAATTTCAGAATTTTGGGGGCCCCGTTTCTCGATCTCAATCTGAGCATCAACTGCAATGATCATACTGCAATAATCATCCAAATGGTCACCCGGCATTCCCAACAAACAAAGCTATGGTCATAACAATTTCTTCCAGCATCAAATGTATTTGAGTCCAGTACTCCTGGGTCTTTCCTCAAGACCACCACTCATGGTCAATGTCCTAACATTGTGATCACATTTCCAACATTTAATAGATCTGTCAATCATCATTTATATAGAGACAAGGAGAATCGTATGGAAGGCAATCGAAAGGAATATTAGCACATAAGACAGCTGGAAGGAAGAGGCCTGCGGGAACTTCAGGATCATTAGGTGGTGAGGCATTCCCATTCCCCTAGAAATGTGCTCTTCCTGGAGCTCAGCAAGTAGAAAGTTGCACCATTGAAGGAGCCAGTCACCAGGGGAGAATTTTCCCATCCAAATCCACAAAAGTGCCGTTGTTTTTCTCGGAGAGACTGGCAAGCGTTGCCAGGATCTTCTGCACGCCCTCATCCACTCCCATCGGGGCCAGAATCTGGAAACAGAGCAAGTCAATGACTCAAGGATTAGCAGAGTGGAAAATGCAAGGAACAGAGTACGACCCAGAAGGTAGAAGAAGCAACAAGGAGATCAGCTATTTTAATCCTAAACAACAATTGTGATTTTCTTACAAACAAGCTGGTAAAATGTGGGCTAGAGAGAGCTCTTGTTAGGTGGGTTTACAATGGGTTGACCGACAATTTCATCTGTCGATCACCTACCGCTCCATTCCCCATATCGGTCTGTAGCCACCCTGGATGCAACGTAATGCACAGGATCTCATCCTTGGCATATCCCAGGGACTGGCACTTCGTGAGCATGTTCAGAGCAGCCTAGGAATGGAACACAGGACAAGATGTAAGTGGTGGGTTTTAATTCCATTAATGTAATAGGAGACCAAACACAGAACCATGTCATCTATATCAATAAAAATGTCATGTTTGTTTGTGGGATTAACAGAACTCCAAAACCACTGGGGGAATTGAGACCAAATTTGGACACAAGACACCTAACCACCCAATGTCTGTCCTTCACTCATAAAAACACTGAAAAACACAGCAGAAGGGACTTAGAAAGCCCCCAAAAGCTAAATGATGAAAAGCTAAATGACAATACAGAAAAAAGGGAAGAAAGAGGGAGGGAAGGGGAGAAAAAAAGAAAGAAAGAAAGAAAGAAAGAAAGAAAGAAAGAAAGAAAGAAGAAAGAAAGAAAGAAAGAAAGAGAAAAGAAAGAGGGAGGGAAAGAAAGAAGGAAAGGGAGAAGGAAGCATGGAAGCAAAGAGAGAAGGAAGGAAGGAAAGAGGTAGAGAAGGAAGAAAGGAGAGAAAGAGGGAGGGAAAGAAAAAGGGGGAAGGAAGGAAAGTTAGAGAAGGAAGGAAGGAAGGAGAGAAGGAAAGAAAAAAGGGAAAGAAGGAAAGAGGGAGTGAAGGAAGGGGGAAGATGTAGAGAAAGAGGGAGGGAAGGAAAGAAGGAAAGAGAGAAGGAAGAAAAGAGAGACAGCAGAAGAGAAAGAAAGGGGAAGGAAGGAAAGAGATAGAGAAGGAAGGAAGAAGAGAAGGAAAGACAGGAAGGAAGGAAGGAAAGAGGGAGTGAAGGAAGGAGGGAAAGAAGAGGAGAAAGAGGGAAGGTTGGCCACAGCAAAGCGTGGTGGGTACTTTTTAATCAATAGAAATAAAAATGTAATGATCGTTTGTGGAATTAACACAACTCAAAAACCACAGGACCAGTTGACACCAAATTGGGACACAATACACCTATCGGGCCAACGAGTGACCATCACTCACAAAAACACTGAAAAACACAGCGGAAGAGACTTAAAAAGCCAAAAAATAAAAAATACAATGCATGCACAAAATCACATATATATATACGCAGACATGCATATATACACATATACACAAATATATATACACACATATACACACACAAAACATATATATATACACAGACTGGGCCACAGCAACGCATGGCAGGGGATGGCTAGTTCTAATACATAATTGGTTCTCAAGCTTCCTAATGCCGCAACCCCTTCATGACTACCATGGTTGGTGACCCCTAACCATAACATTATTTCTGTTGAGACTTCATATCTGTAATGTTGCTACTGTTATGAATAGTCATGTAAATATGTGATATGCAGGATGCATTTTCATTCACTGGACCAAATTTGGCACAAATACCCAAATTTGAATACTGGTGGGGTTGCGGGGGATTCACTTTGTCATTTGGGACCATTCTGAACTCCACCAAAGATGGAATTGAACCAAACTTGGCGCACAGAACCCCCATGACCAAGAGAAAACACTGGAAGGGTTTGGTGGGCATTGACCTAGAGTTTTGGAGTTGTAGTTCACCCACATCCAGAGAGCACTGTGGATTCAAACAATGATGGATCTGGATGAAACATGGCATGAATACTCAATATGCCAAAATGTGAACACTGGTGGAGTTCAAGGAAAATAGACCTTGACATTTGGGAGTTGTAGTTGCTGGGATATATAGTTCACCTACAATCAACGAGCATTCTGAACCCCACCAACAATAGAATTGGGCCAAACTTCCCACACAAAACTCCCATGTCCAACACAAAATGCTGGAAGGGTTTGGTGGGCACTGACCTTGAGTTTGGAAGTTGTAGTTCACCTACACCCAAAGAGCACTGTGGACTCAAATAATGATGGATCTGGACCACACTTGGCATGAATGCTCAATATGCCCAAATGCGAACACTGGTGGAGTTTGGGAAAAACAGATCTTGAGAGTTGTAGTTGCTGGGATGTATAGTTAACCTACAATCAAAGAGCATTCTGAACCCCACCAATGATAGAATTGGGCCAGACCTCCCACACAGAGACCCCCACGGCCAACAGAAAATACAGTATTTTCTGATGGTCTTTGGTGACCCCTCTAACACCCCCTCGTGCCCCCCCCCAGGGCTCCTGACCCCTAGGTTGAGAAACATAGTAATATATACATGGAAGTCATGTAGTCCTCCAGATATATTTGGATTAGAAGTCCCAGTAGTCCTAGATAGCATAAACAATAAGAAGGAATGCTTGTAGTCCAACAATATTCCCTTGACTTGTGATGCTCCTGACTTGTTATCAATGCTTGACAACAAATTGTGATACTCTGAGATGAAGAGTTGATTTTGCTAATTTGGACCGATCTACTGGGCAACGAAGCCCACTCTTGTGATCATTTCGGCAAACTAGGCTGGAGGACTTGCCCCGCTCTGAACTTGTTGAACTGGTTCATAAATATGGGTTCACTGGATACCTCTTATCGTTAAATGAAAAACAAACTGTGAGCATATCACAAATATTTACCACTTAGAATTAGTGAACGAGACTCTTTAGCACAGTGTTTCTCAACCTTCCCAACCTCCTTAAATACGGCTTCTCATGTTGTGGTGGCCCCACAAAATGGAGTCTGAGCTCTGAACAGTCTCAGATCTGGTTATTTATTTATTTATTTATTTATTTCGGGTACTTTTACCCCGCCCTTCTCACCCCTGAGGGGGGACTCAGGGCGTCTTACAAAAAGCACAATTCGGTGCCTATACAAAAATTACACATAGTGTACAAAACCATAGTTAAAAAATTATCACAGTTAAAACAATCAAAACAATCAATATACTTCACATCATATAAAAACTATTCATGCTCAGCATTCGTCTTTCAGAGTTCCATAATTCCATTCCACTTTGTCAATTCCTGTCCATCGTCGAAACCCTTCTTTATCTGCCCGATTGTCCGAATGCCTGGTCCCAAATCCATGTTTTCAGTTTTTTCCTGAAGGAAAGGAGTGATGTCGCTGATCTAATTTCCCCGGGGAGCGAATTCCACAGGGGGGGCCACCACCGAGAAGGCCCTGCTCCTCGTCCCCGCCAACTCACTTGTGATAGAGGCGGGGACGAGAGCAGGGCCTCCCCAGAAGATCTTAAACTCTGAGGGGGACGTAGAGGGAGATGCGTTCAGACAGATACACTGGGCCGGAGCCGTATAGGGTTTTGTAGGTCAAAACCAAATTGCCAATATCCGCTGGATAATGGAGAAAAGCAGGGAGTTTCAGAAAAACATCTACTTTTGCTTCATTGACTATTCTAAAGCCTTTGACTGAGTGGATCATAATAAATTGTTGCAAGTTCTTGGTGGTATGGGCATACCAAGCCACCTTGTCTCTCTCCTGAGGAATCTGTATAAGGACCAAGTAGCATCAGTAAGAACAGACCACGGAACAACAGACTGGTTCAAGATTGGGAAAGGCGTACGGCAAGGCTGCATCCTCTCACCCAACCTTTTTAACTTGTATGCAGAACACATCATGCGATGTGCGGGGCTGGATGAATGCAAAGCTGGGGGAAAATTGCTGGAAGAAACATTAACAACCTCAGATATGCAGATGACACCACTCTGATGGCCGAAAGCGAGGAGGAGCTGAGGAGCCTTCTAATCAAGGTGAAAGAAGAAAGCGCAAAAGCCGGGTTGCAGCTAAACGTCAAAAAAACCAAGATTATGGCAACAAGAATGATTGACAACTGGAAAATAGAGGGAGAAAAGGTGGAGGCCGTGACAGACTTTGTATTTCTAGGTGCAAAGATTACTGCAGATGCAGACTGTGGCCAGGAAATCAGGAGACGCTTACTTCTTGGGAGGAGAGCAATGTCCAGTCTCGATAAAATAGTAAAGAGTAGAGACATCAGACTGGCAACAAAGATCCACCTAGTCAAAGCCATGGTATTCCCTGTAGTCACCTACGGATGTGAGAGCTGGACCTTAGGGAAGGCTGAGCGAAGGAAGATAGATGCTTTTGAACTGTGGTGTTGGAGGAAAGTTCTGAGAGTGCCTTGGACTGCGAGAAGATCCAACCAGTCCATCCTCCAGGAAATAAAGCCGACTGCTCACTGGAGGGAAGGATACTAGAGACAAAGTTGAAGTCCTTTGGCCACATCATGAGGAGACAGCAAAGCCTAGAGAAGACAATTATGCTGGGGAAAGTGGAAGGCAAAAGGAAGAGGGGCCGACCAAGGGCAAGATGGATGGATGGCATCCTTGAAGTGACTGGACTGACCTTGAAGGAGCTGGGGGTGGTGACGGCCGACAGGGAGCTCTGGCGTGGGCTGGTCCATGAGGTCACGAAGAGTCGGAGACGACTGAACGAATGAACAACAAGGTCAAAACCAGCACTTTGAATTGTGCTCGGAACTGGATCGGCAGCCAGTGGAGCTGACACAGCAGGGGGGTGGGATGCTCCCTGTATCACGCTCCAGTGAGCAGTGTGGCTGCCTCCCGCTGGACTATTTGGAGATTCCAAACAGTCTTCAAAGGCAACCCCATGTAGAGCGCGTTACAGTAATCTAATCTCATGTGTCTGCAGCCCCTCCCACAACCTTAAGAAACATAGAGTAAAGGGGAAGCTGCCTATCAAAACATACATATACAATACAGTACGCAAACAGAATCATATTTTAAAAAAACAAATTACTAGTGGAGGCTTGAAGAAGGTTGCTATTTCCAACAGTTGTGACCTTAAGGTTATGAGAACATCCGTTTATTCAGAACTGATATGGGTTTGAGAAATAAGCCGTCTTTTCCAAAATTCCCAGAGGCCTCCTGTACTTCATTCTATTAGAAAGGACAGCCTTGAAGACCCAGAAACTCTGCCACTTGGAGAATGGCAGGATGAGGAGAGTACAATGTCAGCATTGTGTCACCATTGCACCACTGACGTCAACATACCTTACTGCAACGATAGTTGAGGATCTGCCCAACTTCCCACCCTAAGACATTGGTAATGGAACCACACTCGCTGCTGATGTTGATGAGGGCGGCTTTGTTGCAGCTCATCCCTTTCTGAGGGCTTTCCTGAGCGGCCTTTTTCAGCAAGGGCAAGAAGGTCTGGAGAAGAAGAGGAAAGCATCGGAGTCATCCGAACACAGCGTGGACAACATGTTGTTGAAGGCTTTCATGGCCGGAATCACTGGGTTGCTGTGAATTTCCTGGTTTTATGGCCATGTCCCAGTAGCATTATCTCCTGACATTGAAGTCGAACATGACCCCCCCCCCCCCATAAAAGATAGTAACTTATAGTTTTGCTAAGGACAAGGACACCAGACTGGATAATAAGGGTTTAGCCTTGGTCAGTTTGCCAAGAAACTAACAACAACAAGGACCCTTCCCATCTTAGATAGTGTGTACATTTAATCAAGGTTTTATGCCCTAGGTTTCATATTTATTACTGAGAAACCCCTTCCCTTTACACTGATGTCCTCTCTTGAACTTCTATGGGACTCTGGTGGGAGGGATAAGTGGGTATATTTACTATAACATGATTTCTATATTTCTATTTTCCTCCCTGTGTATCTGACCTTTTCCTGATCCTTTTGCCCAATTCCTCTTTGCCCAATTGCCCAAATACAAGGCAGCAACCCCTGCATGACCCTGAAAAGAAGGAAATCACTAGTTGAAAAGACCCTTATCAAAAGACACTATTTGCATGGACAATAACAAAGGATCGTGACCTCTGGCCTCGGAGTTGGCCCCCCAGAGGAAGCGGTCACTTGGCATTTATGATCATATCTCAATAGGACAAAGGAAGCCTTCGGAAAGCCATACTTCGTCCTAATCTGTTACTGATTCAACTTTTATCCACTGAAACCACAGCCAAAATTCCCTCATTGTTCCTGTCTCTCAGCACTGGAAAAATCCAGATCATGGAAGGCTTGCCAGACAATCAATGTTTATTGCTACCCATCAAAGACAATAGGCTGGCTGGCTAGAAGGCCCCCTGAGGACTCGCCAACCACATAGACACCACATATTTCCATAATCCACTCCAGTTCTCATTGTTTCCCTCTCGTCCCGCCTCCCTCTCTCCTGATTCGTCAGGACGGCGAGGCGGCAGAAGCCCAGCGATTGGCCCAGGCACTCAGGAGGTGGCCAAGCCTCCTCCCAGCTGTAGAGCGCCAGCCAATCATCGTCGAGCCGGCAGAGGGGCGGGGAATGGGAGATTCAAACCTGGCAACTCTGTTTCTGTATAAAAAAGGCTTTTATTTGTACACATGTTATGCTCAGCTTGGCGAAATATTGCTGCTTTGCATCCTTTTCAAAAAAATCATCTTGGTGGTGCTTCCTTCAATCTTGGTGAGATTTCTTTTGGGAACTTAGGAAAAACCTTTTAAATGGAGCTTCTCTTTGCTCACCACTGTAGCGAGCCCTCTTTGGGGTCCGCAGGTCTCTCCTCCAGGGCCAGACCCCTTTAAATTCCTCCATGATTTCAACATTTCACCCAAACCTATGGCAGGCATCACAACCTCTGAGTTCCACAAATATGAACAGCTGACCTTTTGATCAGCAAGTTCTGCAGCTCAGTGTTTTAACCCACTGCACCACTGTGGCTCCGTACATGACAGTGAAGACTCATATAATCCAGTTCAAAGCAGACAATGTGGAGGATCTGCTCTGATAATCTGGATGATAGGGCAGTGTAGCAAGATAAGATCCGGCCATCTTACCTGGGTGACCACCATGGGCCCAACCACATTGGTTTTGTACACTTCCAGCATGTTTTCCGGTGTCTCAGATTCCAACGTGGTTGCTTTCACAATCCCGGCATTATTGATCAGCAAATTCAAGCCAGCGCCTTTCAGCCTCTCGGTGACGATGGCTGCAGCAGCCTTGATGCTGGACGCTTCAGACGTGTCTGTGCCAGGCAAGGAGGGACACAAGGAAGGAGGAGATTAATTATTATTATTATTATTATTATTATTATTAAACTTTATTTGTACCCCGCTAGCATCTCCCGCAGGACTCGATGCGGCTTACAAAGGCCGAGGCCTCAACACAACAACAGCAGACAATAACAATACAATACAAAGCAAAAATTAAAACATAAGCAATGACAAAAACATTACCCTATTACACATTAAAAACCAGGGGCCGGGCCAGTGATGGGTACAGGTTAAAAAGTGCTGGGCGTGAGAGGTGGTATGTTGGGATTCTGGGCAAGTGCAGAGTGCAGAGAGTCTTAAGCTCTAATAAAGTGCTTCTGGGACGTAGTGCTGGGGGTTATCCTATTCTGGAAAGGCACATCGGAATAGCCAGGTCTTCAGATTCTTCCCAAAGACTGCCAGCGTGGGTGCTAGTCTAATGTCTTTGGGGAGGGTGTTCCAGAGTCAGGGGACCACCACAGAGAAGGCCCTGTCCCTCGTCCCCACCAAACGCGCCTGCGACGCAGGTGGGATCGCGAGCAGGGCCTCTCCAGATGAACGAAGGGAGTGCGTGGGTTCATAAATGGAGATGCGGTCACACAGGTAGGCAGGCAGGTCCCAAACCATCTAGGGCTTTGTAGGTAAGCACCTCCATCTTGAATTAGGTTCGGTAGGTAAACGGCAGCCAGTGGAGCTCCTTAAACAGGAGCATTTACCTCTCTCTGTAAGGAGCGCCAGTTAACATCCTGGCCGCCGCCCGTTGGACCAGTTGGAATTTCCGAGCCGTTTTCAAGGACAGCCCCACATAGAGCGCATCATAGTAATCCAATCTAGAGGTGACCAAGGCATGGACCACCCCGGACAGATCAACCTTTGCGAGGTACGGTCGCAGCTGGCGCATGAGTCTTAGTTGTGCGAAAGCCCTCCTGGACACCGCCGACACCTGAGCCTCAAGCGTAAGTGATGAGTCCAGGAGAACTCCCAAACTGCGGACCTGGGAGATGGACACACCCTTCATTACTAACAGGCACAAATGGCTTAGAGCAATGGTTCTTAATGCCACGACCCCTTGATACAGTTCCTCATGTTGTGGTGACCCCCAACCATAACATTATTTTCGTTGCTCCTTCCTAACTACAATTTTGCTACTGTTATGAAGCGTAATGTAAATATCTGGTATGCAGGATGTATTTTCATCGATTGGACCAAATCTGGCACAAATACCCAATACGCCCAAATTACAATACTGGTGGGATTTGGAGTAGGGGGGGGGGAGAACTGATTTTGTCATTTGGGAGTTGTAGTTGTTGGGATTTACAGTTCACCTACAATCAAAGAGCATTCTGAACTCCACCAACTATGGAATTGGACCAAACTTGGCACACAGGACTCCCACGACCAACAGAAAACACTGGAAGGGTTTGCTGGGCATCGACCATGAGTTTGGGAGTTGTAGTTCACCTACTGTTGCACCTCAGAGTAGATTCCCCTTGCTGAAGACACCAAACTGTACGCAGCCAGAAGTCTTTATAGTTTATTAAGTATAAAAGGTAAAAAGTTCCAAAAGGCAAAAGTTAATGTTTCAACAGATCAAAATCACATAGCACTTGAAGCTTAATCCAAAAAGGTTCCAGCAAAGCATAAACCCAAAAGAACAGGACAAAGTCCTGAAACCATGAACACAAAAACTGCAAGATACATCCAGCCAAGCTAAGGCAAGCTTCTTAGTTGAACGCAAAGTTGCTTTGACAATGATTTGGTCTCAAACACACAGCTTAATACCCTTTGCAAAACATGAAGGCATTTCTATGGCCTCTGGCCTCTCTCTTGTTAGCTATTCTCTCACTCCTACGAACTCGGAATTCCAAACGGTCAGCACGATGTAAGGTTCCCATTTTGTCAAAGTCAGTCTGTTTGTTAATGTCAGCCTGTTTCCCTGCTTGCTCATTCTCAGGCTGAGAACTGTCCTCCTTCTCTGAGTCAATCTGCACCTACACCTGGCTATTTTCAGTATCCACACTCTCATGCCTTGCTATGGGAAACTGCACTTCTTCACTGTCTATAACAGGGACATCTTGAACCAAACTGTGAACCTGAGTCCCATCACCCTCGTCAGAAACACTCTCTGATTCCAGCCGAGTCACAACACCTACATCCAGAGAGCGCTGTGGACTCAAACAAGGATGGATCTGGACCAAACTGTACACAGATATTCCTCTATAATTTCCTATGGAGAGCTTCTGCTTCCTTATAGAAGTCTTCCTCAGTCAGTTTCAACCTTAACAAAATCTTCTTCAGGTGGGAAATTACTAAATTTTGCAAAATAAAGTGGCAAAGGAATGGCTTCTTAATAGCAAGTATACTCACATATTTCACACCTATTTCTACAAGGAAACAGAAGCGCTCCATAGGAAATTATAGAGGAATATTTGTGCACAGAAACTTTAAAAAAATTCCTTCCTTGATTTCATCATTTGGGAATTGTGGTTGCTGGGAATTATAGTTCACCTGCAATCAAAGAACATTCTGAACTCCACCAACAATGGAATTGAACCAAACGTGGCACACAGGACTCCCATGACCAAGAGAAAATACTGGGAGGGTTTGGTGGGCATTGACCTTGAGTTTGGGAGTTGTAATTCACCTACATCCAGAGAGCACTGCGGACTCAAATAATGGTGGATATGGACCAAACTTGGCACGAATCCTCAATATACCCAAATGTGAACACTGATGGAATTTGAGGAAAATAGACCTTGACATTTGGGAGTTGTAGTTGCTGGGATTTATAGTTCACCTACAATCAAAGAACATTCTGAACTCCACCAATGTTGGAATTGAACCAAACTTGGCACACAGAACTCCCATGACCAACAGAAAATACTGGGTTTGATGGGCATTGACCTTGAGTTTGGGAGTTGTAGTTCACACACATCCAGAGAGCACTGTGGACTCAAACAATGATAGATCTGGACCAAACTTGGCACTAATACTCCATATGCCCAAATGTGAACACTGGTAGAGTTTGGGGAAAATAGACCTTGACATTTGGGAGTTGTAGTTGCTGGGATTTATAGTTCACCTACAATCAAAGAGCATTCTGAACCTCACCAATGATAGACTTGGGCCAAATGTCCCCCACAGAACCCCCCATGACCAACAGAAAATACTGTGTTTTCTGATGGTCTTTGGTAACCCCTCTGACACCCCCCTTGCGACCCATCCCCAGGGATCCTGACCCCCAAGTTGAGAAACGCTGGTTTACAGAAATAGAAGTAAGCTGAACTTGAAGGGGGGAAAAGAGGAGAGTGAAACAAAGATGCCTTAAAGGCAGCTGCAAAACTGGGATGATGGAAAACTAATTAGGATTGGCCCTGCCAAATTGGCACAGTTTGTACAGTCCACTCTTGCAGAATTTGGAAAGTTTGCCTTGTTTTGGAGGATGGCTTTCGCATTTTGCGTCTCAGAAAAGCAAAGCCATTTAAAGCGTTGCTCAATTTTTTTACCGTCCAGGGAGAAGAAAGGCATTGGTCCGATTTGTTTTGTTTGATGTGCCAAAAATAACTTGGCCGCCCTTTTGTATATGTTGAGAGAGGGTAGAGCACGCTTTGTTCAGGCAGCGGTGCATCCGGGGCTGGTTCTGGGAGACGGAGGCCCCTTCCGCACACCCGAATACAACCCCTTGGAACTGGAATCTATGGCAGTGTAGACTCAGATAACCCAGTTCAAAGCAGATACGGTCAGATTTTCTGGGATAGAGGGCTGGGTGGAAGGCCCTAAATGTATTCAGCTTGTTTTGAAAAGTGAGTTCGAAGCTGTCCCAGGTTGGAGTGAGCTTCCAACCAATTTGTGTAGCTTGCTGTTGACCTTTGCAGCCCGAAAGACAGTTGGATCTGTCAAGTAGGAAATGTAGGTACCGCTTATGCGGGGAGGCTAATTTAACTAAAAATTTACGACACCATAAAAATCTCCAGTAAGCATGCAAAGAATGAGGAAGTTCTTCATCAGTGTCACAAATGGACGGTGAACCGACAGCTCCCCTGGTGGCCAAAATACCCTCATGGAAAAGCTGGAATGTTAAATAGCCTCTGTGTGTCTGTCTATATAGGTTGTGTGTCTATGGCATTGAATGCATGTGTACACTGTGATCCCCCTGAGGGGTGAGAAGGGCGGAATGTGAATACTGTAAAGCCCTGTGAGGAACAGCTTAAGGAGCTGGGCATGTTTAGCCTGAAGAAGAGAAGACTGAGAGGAGACATGATGAAGGCTATGTATGTGAGAGGAAGTCATAGGGAGGAGGGAGGGAGCTTCCTTTCTGCTTCCCTGGAGACTAGGACGCAATGGAGCCATGGCTTCAAACTAGAAAAAAGGAGATTCCATCTGAACATGAGGAAGAACTTCCTGACTGTGAGAGCCGTTCAGCAGTGGAACTCTCTGCCCTGGAGTGTGGTGGAGTTTCCTTCTTTGGGGGCTTTTAAATAGAGGCTGGATGGCCATCTGTTGGGGGTGCTTTGAACATCATTTTCTTCCTTCTTGACTTCAAACTAAAGGAAATGAGATTCCACTTGAACATGAGGAAGAACTTCCTGACTGTGAGAGCCGTTCAGCAGTGGAACTCTCTGCCCCGGAGTGTGGTGGGGGCTCCTTCTTTGGAAGCTTTTGAACAGAGGCTGGATGGCCATCTGTCAGGGGTGATTTGAATGCAATATTCCTGCTTCTTGGCAGAATGGGGTTGGACGGGATGATGGCCCAGGAAGTCTCTTCCAACTCTAAGATGAACTTCCTGACTGTGAGAGCCGTTCAGCAGTGGAACTCTCTGCCCCGGAGTGTGGTGGAGGCTCCTTGTATGGAGGCTTTGAAACAGAGGCTGGATGGCCAACTGTCGGGGGTGCTTTGAATGCTATTTCCCTACTTCTGGGCAGAATGGGGTTGGACTGGAGGGCCCACGAGGTCTCTTCCAACTCTAGGATTCTAGGATTCTATGAATAAGTGCTGGAAATGTGTGAAAAATGAAGGGTTCTTCCACCCCATGTGGTGGGCCTACGAAAAGTAGAATCATTCTGGAAAACAATCCAGGAATCCTGTCAAAAGATTTTAAAATTAAATATCCCACTAAAACCAGAATATTATCTGCTAGGGATGACAGATATCAAATGGGACCGGAACATTGACAAACCATTTGTTTACCTCACAGCTGAAGCTCGGATCATGTACACGAGGCATTGGAGACAGAATATAAAAGCAAGAATGGATAGAAAAGGCATTAGGTATAATGAACACAGACCAATTGACCTTCCTGATAGCAAAGTCACAGAGCAAATATATTAAAACAATGAACTGGACTTCCCTCAAAGAATGGATGAAAAGAGACCACTTCAAGAGGTTACTCTGAACAGACGAGAAGAAGGGAGGAATACCAACGTTAAACATTTATGAAATAAAAAGATGCTATAAAGAAGCGGTTCTCAACCTGGGGGTCGCGACCCCCAGGGGGGTCGCCTGGCCATTTTGGAGGGGTCGCGAGGCCACCTCCGTTGGCCCCGCCCCAGGGGCGTGGGCCAGGCAAGGTCTACCTCGCACAAGGGGTGAGGCAGGCGAGGCGTCCTCCTTGCGGGTGTCAGAGTGGTCGCCAAGGACCATAAAAACCAGTATTTTCAGTTGGTCATGCATGGAGGTTGTGTGTGAGAAGTTTGGATTAATTCTATCGTTGCTGGGGTTCAGAATGCACTTTGATTGTAGGTGAACTGTAAAACCCAGCAACTACAACTCCCAAATGTCAACGTCTGTTTCCCCCAAACTCCACTAGTGTTCACATTTGGGCATATTGAGCATTTGTGGCAAGATTGGTCCAGATCCATCATTGTTTGAGTCCACAGTGCTCTCTGGATGTAAGTGAACGACAACTCCAAAACTCAAGGTCAGTGCCCACCAAATCCTTCCAGTATGTTTTGTTGCTCATGGGAGTTCTGTGTGCCAAGTTTGGTTCAATTCCATCATTGGTGCAGTTCAGAATGCTCTTTGATTGTAGGTGAACTATAAATCCCAGCAACTACAACTCCCAAATGAGAAAATCAACCTCTCCAACCCCGCCAGTAGTCAAATTTGGGCGTATTGGGTATTTGTGTCAAGTTTAGTCCACTGAATGAAAATACATCCTGCAGATCAGAGATTTACATTACGATTCATAACAGTAGCAAAATTACAATTATGAAGTACCAATGAAAATAAATTGATGGTTGGGGGTCACCACAACAGGAGGAACTGTAATAAGGGGTTGCGGCATTAGGAACGTTGAGAACCACTGCTATAAAGCTATTTTTTTCATACAACCATTATAAAGAAGAATGGAAGTGTAACTTTTTTTTTCTTTTCACACCCTTCCCCTTCTTTCAGACCCTACAAGCTCTTTCCCTCCCCTCCCCCTCCCCTCCCCTTCTTCATTTTTTTTACTGTTTTTAATGTATCACTGTTAAAACTTCAATAAAAACTTTTCAAAAAATAAAACCTGTGGCATAGACACCGAGAACTGGGAAGCCCTGGCTCTTGAGCGCTCCAACTGGAGGTCAGCTGTGACCAGCAGTGCTGCAGAATTCAAAGAAGCACGAATGGAGGGCAAAAGGGAGAAACATGCCAAGAGGAGGAAGGCGTGTCAAGCTAACCTTGACCAAGACTGCCTTCCACCTGGAAAGCGATGTCCTCACTGCAGGAGGGAGAACATGCGGATCAAGGATAGGGCTCCACAGCCACCTACGGAACCACCGTCAGGACACTACTACACTTGGAGGCCTATCATCCTCGGGCTATGTAAAGATACCTGTTGAATTACCCAGAATTGCAGTTTCTTTCCTCATTAGTGTAGAAAGAACCAAATGGGAAAGGAAGCAACCTACCAAGTGGGATGATCTCTATTCCTCGGTGCTTGGCAGCCAAATCCCTCAAAATCTGCAAAAAAGCAGAAGTTTAGAATGCAGTTGGGTTACTCAGAAAGAGAAGGCAGGAGAGGGTGGAAAGGCACCTGGATTCCATTCTGTTCTACAAATGCACTGCTCACAGTGTTGCTGCAAAAGTATCCTGGGGGTGTTTTCAGACCTGTGCTCCCAGCCCTGGGCCCGACCCGCATGTTATCACAGGCAGAGTGGACTCTGTCCTGGAGCTCACCTGGGCGCGTGGTCCTTCTGGGTCCCGGCAGGTGGCAAAGATCCATTCCGGGCGGTTGCTTCTCCCAACCAGCTGCTTGACCAGTTCCAAGCCTATGCCCCGATTGGAGCCAGTCACCAGCACACTGCGCACCTTGAGCTCCGGCATCTTTTGGAACTGGGGAAAGGCTTGGGCAGCAGCAGGAGCAGCAGCAGCAGCGCAAACGCAGTCGGACTTTTCCCTCCCGTGCCTCCGCCTAGGCTTACATAACTGCTTGGCTCTTGGGTCACTTGTGAGTCTCTTTCTGGCATCCAGCCAGGAGTCACTGTAAAACCTGAAGTGGAGTGCGCCAATACAGCCATGTCATTATTATTATGGAGGACCTTCTTAGAGCAACGCCAGAGGCACTCCAAGTGGCCAGCTAGTACCAGTCAAAGGACATTGAATCAACTGCCAAGTTTGCAAACTTGGTGTTTATATCTGTACTATATTGAGGCTTCAAACTGTGGCCAGTTTGTAAGCCGCCCTGAGTGTCCCGTCCCCCCCGCCCCCTCCTCGGAGGTTGGAAAGAGTGGGATAGAAATATTGGAAATAAACAAACAAATAAATAATATAGACACCGGTGGCGCAGTGGGTTAAAGCGCTGAGCTGCTGAGCTTGTTGACCGAAAGGTTGCAGGTTCGATTCCAGGGAGCGGCGTGAGCTTCCGCTGTCAGCTCCAGCTTCTGCCACCTAGCAGTTCGAAAACATGCAAATGTGAGTAGATCAATAGGTACCGCTCTGGCAGGAAGGTAATGGTGCTCCATTCAGTCATGCCGACCACATGACCTTGGAGGTGTCTATGGACAAAATCGGCTCTTTGGCTTAGAAATGGAGATGAGCACCACACCCCAGAGTCAGACACGACTGGACTTAATGTCAGGGGACAACCTTTACCTTAGACACCCTTTTTATTGGTTTAAAATACACAGTTAATGAGACATTCACATTTCTCCGAAAAAAGGTTCATTTTTACTATACAAGTGCAAACAATGGGGATGCTGGATATCTCAGTAGCAAAGGTCTTTCTAAATCGAAAATCGTTCCGTGGTTTGTTCTGGAAAGGCAGGCAGGTTCTGATGGGACGTCCGGTCCCTCACCAAGGGAGACTCTTCCCTTCCCAGTCCAGAAAGGCTCCCGAGGAGGAGGAGGACAAAGAGGCCAGCACTCTGAGCATGCCTTGCACGCAGTCTTGCACAGCGAGGGGTGCCTGGAAGAGAAGAAGGGAAGGCGGGCTCAGGCTCGGAGGGAATCCGACTGTGCAAATGGCCCTGGACTGGCAAGACCCTTCCTCATCATCATAGTCTTTTTTCCTCCCCTCCCCTGTACACTACCTTGTCTGTCCCCATGTCTGTTTTCACCCAGCCTGGATGGATCACCGTGCACAAGATCCCATCTGCTTTCAGTTCCCTGGCCAGGCATGCCGTGACCATGTTCAAAGCAACCTACAAGACCAACAAAGAGACCCTGAATTCAGGAGGGCTGCTCCTCACATTTCTCTGGGCAGCACCCACCTTCACTTGGGAATCTGCATGGCAAAGTGGTTGGGACTGTGCAAACTATGCAGTGATCCTCAACCTTCCTAATGCCACAACTTCTTAATGAGTTTCTCGAGTTGTGGTGACCCCCAACCATAACATTATTTTCATTGCTACTTCATGACCGTCATTGTCATGAATCAGGGGTGCTTTGAATGCAATATTCCTGCTTCTTGGCAGAATGGGGTTGGACTGGATGGCCCAGGAGGTCCCTTCCTACTCTTTGATTCTATGATTCTATGATCATGTCAGTATCTGACATGCAGCAGGAGGGATTTTCATTCACTGGACCACATTTGGCACAAATACCTGATACGCCCAGATTTGAACACTGGTGGGGTTGGGAGCAGATTAGTTTTGTCATTTGGGAGTTGTAGTTGCTGGGATTTATACTTCACCTGCAATCAAAGAGTATTCTGAATTCCACAACGATTGAACTAACCAAACTTGGCACACAGAACTCCCACAATCAACAGAAAATACTGGAAGGGTTTGGTGGGTGTTGACCCACGTACATCCAGAGGGCACTGTGGACTCAAACAACGATGGATCTGAATCAAACTTGGCACAGATACTCAATATGTCCAAGTGTGAACACTGGTGGAATTTTGGGGGGATAGAGCTAAGATCATCTGGGGAGGCCCTGCTCTTACTCCCGTTAACAGCACAGATACGTCTGGCGGGGATGAGAGACAGGGCCTTCTCAGCTGTGGCCCCCCGCCTATGGAACACACTCCCAAAAGAGGTAAGATCCGCTCCCTCCCTCCTGGCTTTCAGAAAAAAATTAAAATCATGGTTTTGGGACCAGGCCTTTGGGCCATAGAAGTAAATGTAAGCAGCATTTTAGAACAGTGATGGGCAATCTTTTGAGTTTGGTGTGTCAAAATTTGCCAAAACACGGAACATAACTCGGGTGGGTTGTCGCTTCGAGAGAGAAAAAAAAACATAATTTTGTCATATTTATAGTTTAAATAACAAAAATGTATAATTGTAATATACAACTGTATTTAATAAACAAAAAACCAATTATTTAACTTACCGGCTTAGTGACTTCTTTGTTCACCCGTCAGTCGGTTTCTTTTGTTGGTCTTGATATTACTTAACTTGTGTGGGGTGCCGTGAACTAAGATAATGCTGGGGTTCAGCCTCTGTGTGAACCTGTACCTGACTCTCTGATTGTATTTCCTGATGTCAATGAAGATGTCAATGATTCGGAGGTCAATGTAGAAGATGACGGTTTGTGTAGTGAAAATCCTGCTGCTTTGGATAGCGAAAGTCCAAATTCCCATGAGAATGATTCAGAGCCAAGCAGGGAACTTTCACTCCCTTTTAGCTCTCCAGATAATCTGACACCTGGTCCCTCTAATGAGGATAGACGGGGGCAGATTTGGCAAAGCAGAGGCAAAGCGCAGAGTTTACAGAGGTCAGCTAGATTAAGAGAAATGCAAACAAGGCCTTCAGGCACGTCACGAAATAGATTTCTATGCTTTAAAAACACTTGGCCTGGATGCCCATTCAGTCCAGGCATTGTTTCAGATTCATGTGCAGACTCTTGCAGTTCTCCTGCTTCCAGTGGCTTTGTTCCAAGGAGTTTTTCTAGTGCTTCAAGTACGGTTAGTGGATTGCTAACAGGTTCCAGGATTTAGCAGTGTTACTGTGGGTTTTTTTATCTTGTTCATGGACATTTCTTGTTGCTGATTTTTACTGTGGCTTTTTACCTTGCATTTTCCTCTATTTTTGTACTCATCTTTCATCAATAAAAAGGATTGTTTTTTCCTGAAGTCAAGTGTGGTGGATTGTTGTCTTAGCGTCCAGTTTCCTGCTCTGGGTTGCAACAGATAAGTCAGGGGAAATTCTTTAAGTCACCTGCCTATGAGTGACCTTTTTGTTGCTGAATGTCATTGGCTAAATCTTCAATAGAAGGTTGGTATTTTGTACACTTCAACCCCAAGCAAGTGCTACTAACTTCATTTGCTGCTATTTCTAATGGTGGGAAATGGCACCCATAGCACAGTCCTTGCCTCTCCCAGTCTCTCCCTCACTTATCTCAGTAATGATGGTCAATTAGAAATCCCTGACACCCCAGAATAGTAGACGGGACAATGGATGCTGTGGTTATGTGACTGCTGGCAATGGGGATCCCAGGGCCCCCAGAGATGCGTCCCCCGTGGCATTCCGCCGCTCCCTGCTTTGCCAGCTGGTAGTGAGGCCAAAGCTCCCCTAACGGCCTAATCGGAATGTCCCAGAACAAGACACTCTTGCCGAAGTTGTGTTGTTTTGGCCTACAGACTTCCGGCACAGAGTGTCTACACTACACTACAGCACATCTTTAATCTTTAGCCACTGCACCTGGCCATGAAGGAGCAGAGGATGAAATGTCTTTCTGTATGCAGCCACATGTCATCGAAAATGGCTAAGCGTGTCAGTGCTGACACACGTGTCATAGGTTCGCCATCATGGTTTTAGAAGGACAATGACTGGAACGGTGATTCGACGGACGAGTCTGTTTTATTGTTTTAATGATTGTTTTATGGCTTGTGGATATATTGTTTTGATTTGATTTATGTCTAATTGTAGTGTATAATTGTAATTGTTTGTACTGGCATTGAATTTTCGCTATTACTTATGAGTAAACCACTTTTAGTCTCCCTCGGGGTGAAAAAAGCGGTATACAAATACTGTAAATAAATAAATAAATAAATAATAGTTCACCTACAATCAAAGAGCATTCTGAACTCCATCAGTGATAGAACTGGGTCAAACTTCCCACACAGAACCCCCATGGCCAACAGGAAATGCTGTGTTTTCTGGTGGTCTTTGGCGACCCCTCTGGCATCCCCCTCGTGACCCCTCCTCCAGGGGTCTGATGAAAAAGCGGGGCTCAAAATGAAAGAAACCTGACCCCCTGAAAAGACTGACCTTGCTTGCACGGTATGGGTACATTGGGTCATGGAAAACCTCAAACCCTCGTTCAATGGAACCCAGTTTGGAGGTGATATTGATGACGGCAGCCCTGCTGCAGCTCATGTCCTCGGCTCCGGTCTCCTCCGCTGCCCTCTTGAGCAGAGGCAGGAATTCCTGAAATGGAAGCCACACAGAAATCGGAACGCTGAGAATTGAGAACATTCAGACTCTTATTGCTTAGCCCAATGGATAATCCCAACATGGGGTTTAGTTGGCAGGATCTATTTAAAGCAGATTGGCCTTTGTTTTCTTCGGAGGAACCTTCTACACTGTTACGCAGAATCAATTTGTTGCGCAGTAGCAATGTCCAACATGTCCCAAACCCAACCAGTCAGAAGAAATAGAACAGTAGAACTTTACTCTTGGTTGTAGAGTTTGAAAATAAAACAGCTTGGCACACTTACATAGTCTCTGTAAGTAATACAGAATACATCTTCTGTGTTATAAATCATAGAGCATAACAAAAGTACATGGTTACTTCACCATAACATGAGCTTCTTGCATCTGCTCTCCAGCAAATCAAACAGCCAACTGCTAACAGTTTGCAAAAGCCTCAGAAAACTGTTACATTCAAGAGGCGTGGCCCAGCCTTGCTGAGCTGAGCTAGCTTTTGCAGCTGCAGTTAATCATTAACACTTTGCAGGGCTTTTCTGCAAGGTTTCCTTTAACACACACACTCACTGGACTTACAACAATATACCGTAATATACACTGCCATATAACATCCAGAATATCTGCTTTGAACTGGATTCTATGGTAGCCTGTGTTGGAAGGGGTCGCACTCCCCCTGAAGACGCCGGTTCGCAGCTTGGGAGTGATCCTGGACTCATCGCTGAGTCTGGAACCCCAGGTTTCGGTGGTGGCCAGGGGAGTTTTTGCACAGTTACAGCTGTGCCCGTACCTTGGGAAGTCAGACTTGGCCACGGTGGTCCACGCTCTTGTTACATCCAAAACAGATTACTGCAATGAAGACTATTTGGAAACTGCAACTAGTCCAAGGGGCTGCAGCCAGATTGCTAACTGGAGCGACATACAGGGAGCATACCACCCCTTTGTTTGATCAGCTCCACTCTCTGCCAGTCCACTTCCGAGCTCAATTCAAAGTGCTGGTTTTGGCCTATAAAGCCCTATACCAGTGTTTCTCACCCTGGGGTCAGGATACCTGGCCCGGGGAGGGGGGGTGTCGCAAGGGGGTGTCTGAGGGGTCACCAAAGACTATCAGAAAACACAGGATTTTCTGTTGGTCATGGGAGTTCTGTGCAGAAAGTTTGGCCCAATTCCATCGTTGATGGGGTTCAGAATGCTCTTTAATTGTAGACGAACTATAAATCCCAGCAACTACAACTCCCATATGCAAGGCCCCTTTCCCCCCAAAACTCCAATAGTGTTCACATTTGGGCATATTGAGTATTTGTGCCAAGTTTGGTGCAGATCCATCATTACCTGAGTCCACAGTGCTCTCTGGATTTAGGTGAACTACAACTCCAGAACTCAAGGTCAATGCCAAACCCTTTCAGTATTTTCTGTTGGTCATGGGAGTTCTGTGTGCCAAGTTTGGCTCAATTCTATCTTTGGTGGGGTTCAGAATACTCTTTGGTTGTAGGTAAACTATAAATCCCAGCAACTACAATTCCTAAATGCCAAGGTCTATTTTCCCTAAACTCCATGAGTGTTCACATTTGGGCATATTGCGTATTTTTGCCAAGTTTGGACCAGATCCATCGTTGTTTGAGTCCACAGTGCTCTCTGGATGTAGGTGAACTAGAACTCCAAAACTCAAGGTCAGTGCTCAACAAACCCTTCCAGTATTTTGTGTTGGTCATGGGAGTTTTGTGTGCCAAGCTTGGTTCAATTCCATCATTGGTGGAGTTCAGAATGTTCTTTGATTGGAGGTAAACTATAAATCCCAACTACAACTCAAGGTCTATTTCCTCAAACTCCACCTGTGTTCACATTTGGGCATATTGAGTATTTGTGCCAAGTTTGGTCCAGATCTGTCATTGTTTGAGTCCACAGTGCTCTCTGGATGTAGGTGAAATACCAACTCCCAAACTCAAGGTCAATGCCCACCAAACCCTTTCAGTAAACTGTAAATCCCAGCAACGACAACTCCCAACTGGCTAAATCATTCCCCTCCCCCAACCCCAAAAGTACTTTGACAACACAACCATTCAATGCTAAGGCTTCCCGCCCAAATGGAACTGTAGAGGAGAGTCTACTGAACAAGCCAGAACCTGCTGCAGACCAGTATGGCCATCTGTTGAGGAGTTATGAAGGTGGAGGCATTACTTTTCATTCAACCCTTGTACTTTACTTGGCACTTACCTTAACCACAAAAATCGCCCCCACGACATTCGTGTTGAAGGCAGAGAGCATCTCTTGCCGTTCCACGGTTTGCAACGTGGCGTAGGAGTTGACTCCGGCATTGTTGATGAGCAGATTCAGGCCCTGGCCCTTCAGGTGGGATTCCACCTCCGAGACAGCCGCCTCCACGCTGGACTGGCTCTCCACCTCTTCCATGCAGAAATGAGAGAAAGTGAGGCCAACGGAACATGTAGACACTGTAGAATTAAGGCACTTCGACACCACTTTACCTGCCATGGCACAATGCTATGGAAAATGGAGATTTACAATTTGGTGAGCCACCGGCACTCTTTGGCAGGGGAGGCTAAAGGCTTTGTAAAGCTACAACTCCGATGATTCTATAGACCCCTTAATACAGTTCATCGTGTTATGGTGACCCTCAACCACAAAATTAATTTTGTTGCTAATTCACAACTGTAATTTTGCTTCTCTTAGGACATTATGAAATATGAAATATCTGATATGCGGGATGTATTTTCATTCACTGGACCAAGTTTGGCACAAATACCCAATAGACTCTGTACAGGAGTTGATTATAAATTGTATGATTGTAACTGTATTTGTGTTTAGATTATTTTTATTTACTCCATTTGTATACCGCATTTATCAGCCTGAAGCGGCGACTCAATGCGGTTGGCTGCAGTAATGCTAAGTCAGAGGAGTCCTCCATGTGCATTGCCATGGAGACCGATGCAGGAGAGAGGGAAGTGGGAGGAGCTTAGAGGGGAGAGTTTGAAAAAACGACAGTTAAAAAATCAGTTAGGGTTGAGGTTTAGAGGAGTGAGCAGTCCAGGTTTAGGTTCAGAGGAGTGAGGAGTTAGGAGTTGGGAGAGAAGGAAAGGAAAGGTGGCGGAGTGACTTGTGAAGCAAAGCTTTGAGGCTTTGAAAAGCTGGATTTGGCTATTGGAAGTTTCTCAGGCTAGTGCAGCCGAATGGTGAAACATAGCTGGTATTCTTTTAGTCTAAGGAGAGGCTACAGAATAGTTTACTTAGTATTTGATCTAGGGAGGATCAAATAAGGGAAACATCCCTCTATTGAAACTTTGTCTGAAACAAGTGCTCTACGTCAGAAAGATACTGTGTTACTTGAAAGAATGAACTGTTAAAGTTACAAGTATTATTCCAAGTGCAACAAGGAAAAGTTACGTCTGGCAACCACACGCTGTATACTTAATAAAATTGTTAACTTTTATTTGAAGATTGCCTCAGCTCCGTCTATTCTGTGTCCAAAGGGCCATTTCTCACAATATTACAACTTAACTCACGTGGTGGCAGAAACGCAGGGAAAAGTAACCAAATAAATCTACATTCTTCTCTCCAGTCACGCTACAGTATATACAGTGTAATTACTACTAAGTTATTACTTTCTTAATAAAGGAGGAGGTGCAATTGAACAGCCTCCCTTCCAACTTGATGGTAAATTTGGTTCCTAATCGGCAACCTCCATTGCAAATCGGCCAGTTCTTTTTCAAATTGGGAACTGGGGTAAAATCTCCTGAATACTGGTTCCTTTCAAATTGGTGGCAACAATAAATCATCCCTCCGCTCCCCTGCTTTTTTTCAGTCCCCCATCAAAGAACTAACTGGTGGGATTGGGGGGGATTGATTTTGTCATCTGGGAATTCTAGTTGCTGGCATTTATACTTCACACGCAATCAAAGAGCATTCTGAACTCCACCGATGATGGAACTGGACCAAACTTCCTTCTGAAGGAAAGGAGGGATGTTGATGACCTAATTTCCCCGGGGAGTGAATTCCACAGGCGAGGGGCCACCACCGAGAAGGCCCTGTCCCTCGTCCCCACCAGTCTCGCTTGTGATAAAGGTGGGGCCGAGAGCAGGACCTCCCCAGAAGATCTTAAACTCTGAGGTGGGACGTAGAAGGAGATACGTTCGGACAGGTATGCTTGGCCGGAGCCGTATAGGGTTTTATAGGTCAAAACCAGCACTTTGAACTGTGCTCGGAACTGGATTAGCAAGTAATAGATTAAAAATTTAACATACACACTGGGCGTGAATAGAGATAGGATGTATCTAAGCAGGAGGGTTTTAAAGGATAGTGTAGGGAGAGCAACCCAACGGGTAGTTAAAGTGCTTCTGAGGACATTTTGCAGGGCATTGGTTCCTTTATTCAGGGAAGGCACACTGGAACAGCCACGTTTTCAGGCTCCTCCTAAAGACTGGCAATGCCTGATATCCTTGGGGAGTGAGTTTGCCGTGTATGTGTGCATTGCAATCCATCCTGAGTCCCCTTTGGGTTGAGAAGGGCAGAATATAAATACTTTAAATAAATAAATAAATAAATAAATAAATAAATAACCAAAACCTGATTCGTAACCCTTTCGGTACTAATGTCGGAGAGTGGTCCCTGGTCGAGTGATCCCTGGTCAAAAAAAAGGTTGGGAACTACTGATTTCAATAAACAGGCTTCCTTGCTGACAGAAGACAATATAAGAAGAGATAAATCTCAGACCTAGCTGAACCACGTGGACGTTGGAGTGCTTTTCAGCCAGTTGATGCAGGGCCTGAAATTGGAGACAGAAAGAGAGTTGTGACAAAAAGAAATGGATCAAAAGGCAGCCTTGGAGTCCAACAGTTAGGGATATTATTATCTATTTGCTTAGTCAAGAGCCAGTGTGGTGCAGTAGCTTCAAAACATTTCAGATATGCATCATTTCATGACACAGTCATTCAGTCTTACTAGCAAATCCGAGGTTAAACCAACACCTTATAGGAAATGCTGACACATACAGAAATTGTAATAACTAGATGTATTTGGACACAGCATACCTCATGAAAACTTTTCTCATATATATTATTTCATAAAATCCTAGAATCAAAGAGTTGGAAGAGACCTCCTGGGCCATCATCCAGTCCAACCCCCTTCTGCCAAGAAGCAGGAATATTGCATTCAAAGCACCCCTGACAGATGGCCATCCAGCCTCTGCTTCAAAGCCTCCAAAGAAGGAGCCTCCATCACACCCCGGGGCAGAGAGTTCCACTGCTGAACGGCTCTCACAGTCAGGAAGTTCTTCCTAATGTTCAGGTGGAATCTCCTCTCTTGTAGTTTGAAGCCATTGTTCCATTGCGTCCTAGTCTCCAAGGAAGCAGAAAGGAAGCTTGCTCCCTCCTCCCTGTGGCTTCCTCTCACATATTTATACATGGCCCTCATCATATCTCCTCTCAGCCTTCTCTTCTTCAGGCTAAACATGCCCAGCTCCTTAAGCCGCTCCTCATAGGGCTTGTTCTCCAGACCCTTGATCATTTTAGCCGCCCTCCTCTGGACACATTCCAGCTTAGAGTCAATATCTCTCTTGAATTGGGGTGCCCAGAACTGGACACAATATTCCAGGTGTGGTCTGACCAAAGCGGAATAGAGCATGGGGAGCAGGACTTCCCTAGATCTAGACACTCGGCTCCTCTTGATGCAGGCCAAAATCCCATTGGCTTTTTTTGCCGCCACATCACATTCCTGGCTCATGCTCACCTTCCTCCCCACGAGGACTCCAAGATCTTTTCCACACGTCCTGCTCTTGAGCCAGGCCTCATCGTCTCCCATTCTGTCTCTTTGCATTTCATTTTTTCTGCCACAGTGGAGTCTCTTGCATTTGTCCTTGTTGAACTTCATTTTGTTAGTTTTGGCCCATCATCTCTCTAATCTGTCAAGATGGTTTTGAATCCTGCTCCTGTCCTCTGGAGTCTTGGCTCTCCCTCCCAATTTGGTGTCATCTGCAAACTTGATGATCCTGCCTTCTAACCCTTCATCTAAGCCATTAATAAAGGTCCTGATCAGGACCGGGCCCAGGACAGAACCCTTCTTGCGGCACTCCACTTGTCACTTCTTTCCAGGATGAAGAGGAAGCCTTGGGGAGAATCACCCTCTGTGTTCGTCCACTTAACCAATTCCAGATCCACCTCACCGTAGTTCTGCCTCGCCCACATGGGACTAGTTTCCTTGCCAGAAGGTCATGGGGGACATTGTCAAAGAAGGCCTTCCTGAAATCCAGACATGCTCCATCCACGGCATCATTCCCCGCATCTACCCAGCTTGTAACTCAATCCAAAAAAAAGAGACCAGATGAATCTGGCATGATTTGTTTTTGATAAATCCATGTTGACTATTAGCGATGACCGCCTTTGTTTCTAAGTGTTTGCAGACCACTTCCTTCACAATCCTTTCCAGAATCTTGCCTGGTATCGAGGTGAGGCTGACCGGACATTGGTCATTGTTTGGGTCATCCTTTTTTCCCTTCTTGAAGATTGGGACCACATTCGCCCTCCTCCAGTCTGCTGGAACTTCTCCCGTTCTCCAATTTGTAAGATAATAATATACACTTCTAGGATTTGTGTTATTTTGTCATTATGGGTCTGGCTTTAGCACAGTAGGGATTTTATATATGGAATGTATACAGCGGTGTGGAAGGGGCCCTAAAGTCAATTCTGTATTCTAGTATTATTCTTTCTCTACTTTTTAGATGTCTCACTTTGATGAACCCATGTCAGTGACCATTTGGAAACAGGCTGAGTAACATAGATTCCTCTCGCGTCTCTGCAAAATGTCAGATTGTGTGTGCGTGCTGCAATCCATGGTTTTGCACCATTCTATACTGTTCAGGCAGGTCGTGACATCTTCCCTGTGTCAGCTATACTGTATGTCAGAGTTGAGACGGAGGATTAGGCAACCAGAGAGCCTGTCCAAACAGTTGCCAAACAAAATAATAATTAAAAAATATTGCAACAGACAGCATAAAGTATGATATTTTTTCGATAGAGTTACAAGCTGAGTAGATGCGGGGAATGCCGTGGATGGAGCGTACCTGGATTTCAGGAAGGCCTTCTTTGACAAGGTCCCCCATGACCTTCTGGCAAGGAAACTAGTCCCATGTGGGCGAGGCAAAACTACGGTGAGGTGGATCTGGAATTGGTTAAATGGACGAACCCAGAGGGTGATTCTCCCCAAGGCTTCCTCCTCTTCATCCTGGAAAGAAGGGACGAGTGGAGTGCCATCAGCAGGGTTCCCTCCTGGGCCCGGTCCTGCTCAGGATCTTCATTCATGACTTAGATGAAGGGTTAGAAGGCAGGATCATCAAGTTTGCAGATGACACCAAACTGGAAGGGAGAGCCAAGACTCCAGAGGACAGGAGCAGGATTCAAAACGATCTTGACAGATTAGAGAGATGAAGGGCCAAAACTAACAAAATGAAGTTCAACAGGGACAAATGCAAGAGACTCCACTTTGGCAGGAAAAACGAAATGCAAAGAGACAGAATGGGGGACGATGAGGCCTGGCTCGAGAGCAGGACATGTGGAAAAGATCTTGGAGTCCTCGTGGGGAGGAAGGTGAGCATGAGCCAGGAATGTGATGTGGCGGCAAAAAAAGCCAATGGGATTTTGGCCTGCATCAAGAGGAGCCGAGTGTCTAGATCTAGGGAAGTCATGCTCCCCATGCTCTATTCCGCCTTGGTTAGACCACACCTGGAATATTGTGTCCAATTCTGGGCACCACAATTCAAGAGAGATATTGACAAGCTGGAATGTGTCCAGAGGAGGGCGACTAAAATGATCAAAAGGTCTGGAGAACAAGCCCTATGAGGAGCGGCTTAATGAGCTGGGCATGTTTAGCCTGAAGAAGAGAAGGCTGAGAGGAGATATGATAGCCATGTATAAATATGTGAGAGGAAGCCACAGGGAGGAGGAGGGAGCAAGCTTCCTTTCTGCTTCCCTGGAGACTCGGACGCAAGGGAACAATGGCTTCAAACTACAAGAGAGGAGATTCCATCTGAACATGAGGAAGAACTTCCTGACTGTGAGAGCCGTTCAACAGTGGAACTCCCTGCCCTGGAGTGTGGTGGAGGCTCCTTCTTTGGAAGTGTTTAAACGGAGGATGGCCATCTGTCGGGGGTGATTTGAATGCAGTATTCCTGCTTCTTGACCGAATGGGGTTGGACTGGATGATGGCCCACCAGGTCTCTTCCAACTCTTTGATTCTAGGATTCTATGATTTGCAATTTCCTGAAAAGGCAGCCAGCCACAGATCCACTCAGTGGATATATCCAAGGTCGATTGTGCAGTATCCTGGTCTCGTTTTACCCCGTTAAGGGCGCACACTTACATCTATATAAATAAAAATGTAATGTTCGTTTGTGGGATTAGCATAACTCAAAAACCTCTGGACGAATTGACACCAAATTTGGACACAAGGCACCTCTCAGTCCAATGAATGTCCAGGGTGGGAGAATCTTTCTATTGGCCACCTTGATTAGCACTGAATGGCCTTGCGGCTCAAAAGCCTGGCTGTTTCCTGCCTGGCGGAATCTTTTTTTGGGAGGTGTTCTAAAAGTCTGCTTGAGGCAAGTGTGAATGTTGCAGCTGGCCAGCTTGATTAGCATACTATCAATAGCAGCCAGGCTTTGAAGCTGCAAGGCCATTCAATGCTAACCAAGGTGGCCAATTGCAACATTCACACCTGCTTCCAACAGACAAGAATCCTTTCTCCCGGGCTGGACATTCCACAGATATATAAACATCACTTGCCTAGTTATAATATAAATATAATATGAATATACAATATATTATATTATATTACTAGCGGTCCCCTGTCATGTGTTGCTGTGGCGCGGTCTGTTGATCTGGGAAATAAAGTAATGAGAAAGTGTGGGTTTCTAATATATGTATTGTCTTTATGCTTGTGGGTAAACAGTATTTCTTGCTGTTTCTTTGCCAGTGTTGATGTCTGGTTTGCGCACTCTGGAACATGCAACATATAATCGTCTTTCTTTAGGGATCCCATTCAAATCTTTGATACTGCATCTATCATAAACATATGTGTGTGTGTGTGTGTGTGTGAATGGCTGGATGGCCCTTTGTCAGGAGGGCTTTGATTATGTTTTCTTGCCCTGGTGAAGGGAGTTGGACTGGATGGCCTTAAGGTAGAATTTCTCAACCTGGGGTTTGGGACCCCGGCCGGGGGGGCGGGGGTTGCGAGGGAGTGTCAGAAGGGTCGCCAAAGACCACCAGAAAACACAGTGTTTTCTGTTGGTCATAGGGTTTCTGTGTGGGAAGTTCCAAATGCTCCTTGATTGTAGGTCAACTATAAATCCCAGTAACTGCAACTCCCAAATGTCAAGGTCTATTTCCCACAAACTCCATCTGTGTTTATATTTGGGCATAGTGAGTATTCATGCCACGTTTGGTCCAGATCCAACATTGTTTGAGTCCACAGTGTTCTCTGATGTAGGTGAACTACAACTCCAAAACTCATGGTCAATGCCCAGCAAACCCTTCCAGTGTTTTCTGTTGGTCAGGGGAGTCCTGTGTGCCAAGTTTGATTCAATTCCATCGTTGGTGGAGTCTAGCATGCTCTTTGATTGTAGGTGAACTACAAATCCCAGCAACTACGACTCCCAAATGACAAAATCATAATTTTTTGAGTGATGGTCACTCCTTGTGTTGTGAGGCATTTTGTTGCCAAATTTGGTGTGATTTCGTTCATTGGTTCTTTTGTTTTTAGGGTACTCATTATGCACAGGCCATTTTTATATATATATAGATTAGCATAGCACATATATACACATATACACAAATATATACACATATATACGCATACACACAAAACACATAAACACAGCAACGCGTGGCAGGGGACGGCTAGTCATTTATAAATACAACGGTCTCATTGAGATTGATCTGCCAATATTGACTTTAAGATTGCTTTCTCTTGGCTACTGTGCAATTCCAGGCATAATGCACCTCACCCAGCAGGTTACACCATCTGTCAATCATCAGATTGACAATATCTAAATAGACTTATAGCAACCACATGTTACATAACGAACGGTTTCAAGGAAAGTCATTCACCAGGAAACTCTGCAACAGGACCCACATTTGAGGGCAAGCGGTGCACCCATCCCGCATTCGGCCGAAGGGTCAACAAACCTTTCCCTTGGGTCCTCTGGGGTCACGGCAAGTGGCAAAGATGTGCCTGGGTGGGTCTGGCCCCTCTGCAAGCTGCCGGACCAGTTCCAGGCCAATTCCCCGACTGGAGCCGGTCACCAGCACGCTGCGAGCCAGCGGAGCCATCCTGCAGTCCACTCTCACTCCTCTGGACTTTGCTCAGGGAATTGGTAAATACTGATTGGCGGTGGTGCCGAGGGAGGCAAAGTGTGCTTACCTTTGGCCTCGTCGGCTCACCTGCCCGCCCGAGGCTGGGACACCTGGAAGGAGTGCAGAACTCAAGCCAAACTGAATGGGCGTTCCTGGAAGATGCCAAATTATGCAAAGAGCAGTCATGGAAGCGCAAAATATCCGGGTTTGCTGGGCTAGGAAATCCCTTCAAGCTCAGCTGTCAATCTGACCGAGCTCTTAGACTGGCCCACACACGTTCTGGAGGCTTCAAATGTTATACCCATTTTCTGGGTATATTTGACCGGCAGATTTATTTATTTATTTATTTATTTACTTCATTTGTATACCGCTCCTCTCAGCCCTTAGGCAACTCGGAGAGGTTCACAACAATTCAACAGTATACATAGTACAGACAATAGGCCTTTAAAACAATAGCATCACAATCAATAGCCATGCCGCATGATCACCGGATGCCTGCGCCCTACACCGCTGGAGAAATTACACTGCTTAGCCGGTATTGCACCACCTGACATCCGCCGGGAAGTAGCAGCCAATAGTGAAAGGACCAAGGCAGAGACATCTCCAGCTCATCCCCTGTTTGGGTATCAGTCAGCACGTCAACGACTTAAATCCAGAAATAGTTTTCTAAGATCTACAGAGACACTTCCTGGAACACCTCAGCAAGCAAGAGTCCAAAAGTGGCAGGCTCAAACCCAGCATCTCAACCAATGGCTGATACCAAATGAGAGACTCCCCCCTGGGCACACAGAAGACTGGGCGACTTGGAAGGCGCTGAACAGACTGCGCTCTGGCACCACGAGATGCAGAGCCAACCTCAAGAAATGGGGCCACAAAGTGGAGTCCACAACATGCAAGTGTGGAGAAGAGCAAACCACTGACCACCTGCTGCAATGCAACCTGAGCGCCGTCACATGCACAATGGAGGACCTTCTTACGGCAACACCGGAAGCACTCCAAGTGGCCAGATACTGGTCAAAGGACATCTAACCAACTACCAAACTCACAAGT